TTCCCTAATAAATCTAACAAAGGGTTTAGAAACAGATGAAGCCATGTAACCAGGATTCCAGGATCCCATGACTCAACGAAGGGGCCGCATATATGTACACGAATGAAACTGAGATACGATTTTCAGCAAAAAAAACCTCTTCGGTGGATCATGGGGGGGGGGGGTGTGAGCATATATGTATAAGTATATACTGGTAGTTGCCAGAACAGGAGACCTCAACATAGACCTCCCTGAAATTTTTATCCCTAACACATCAAGCCCTAAACCCTAAACCCCTATATGCACCCTAAGGTTGCTAAAAGTGCGCGGGCCCCAATTTTCATCTTGGTCTAATGTTTAGGATTTGAGTTTAGGGTCTGGCATTGAGGGTTAAGGATTTAGGGTTTATGGTTTAGGATTTAGGATTCATGCAGTGGCTGTACTGGTGGCTTGGGAAGATCTATTTTAACTCACAGCTACATACAGACAATGCAAGAATCTTGCAACAGTAAGAAACAGCGAAGGTTCAACCTTTGAGGTGCGCAACTTGCAGTGACCTCACCCGACCTCATCTCAAATGGTGTCTTACATATCAAGCTGGCCCACTTTGCATTAATTTCAAGTTCCGATATCCGCAACACCCTAAACTCTAAACCCTAAACTCTCAACCCTAAGCCCTTGACCCAGTTTGAAGCCCCATTGCCACCAGGCGATCTGCCCATGGTTTTTCAATCCGCCCATCCACACCAACAGCTGCTTCCCTGGCTTCGGCTGTCGGATTTGCGGGTCCGTGCGGTTTAGGGCTTAGGGTTTAGGGTTTAGAGGTTGGGAGGTCATTGTAGTTGAAGGTTTCGGGTTGAGGATTTGAAAAGCTGATGTTCTTTGCCTTGAACAGGCTATGGAAGACTGAGTTAATGCTCTTAAAGCAACATCCCCCAAAAGAAGTAGGTTGTAGGGTGTAGAAGCTGGCTTTTGTGTTTGCTTACACAGATTTTTAAGTCCTCCAATCCGAGCCAAAACCTGTAAGCATCTTGACCCAGCAAAGGCTAGGATTTGGGTTCCGGGTTCCCGAAGCATAAGTGTTCAATCCCGAATCTTCAATGTTCGCAGGCTTAATTAAAAATGCCCACCGTGCCCCAAGCTATTGCCCATGCCCTTTGGGGCTGATCATGACTTGTGTGCAGGGCTGAGCTAAGTTGTTCAAAAAAGATGCGACCATCCACTTCAGTCTCTACAGGAAACTTCTTCCAACAGTTCTATGTGGTAGTTGTTGACAACAGAAAGCAGTTTTCTTTTTGGTTAGGATCTATCTTTCCCCAATTGTTTAGTATTTGAGTCTAGAAAAACCTAAAAGTTCAGTACTGCCCCCCCTCAGTAACAGTTGGATAATAATCTTAATATGGTTTTATATAGCCCTTAATAGGACCCCTAATATGGACTGTTACCGGGAGGGGGCAGTACCCAGCCTAAAAAGAACTGATCTGGGTTGTGCGCCGGCTCCAGACGGCACAAAGCCGCCGGAGGCCGGCGAAGAGCAGCCTTGTCGGCCAAAATGCCGTCCTTTATGTAGGGGGTTCCTACCCCTGAACCCTAAACCTTAGGGGATTAGGGTTTAGGCTTTATAGGCCTGAAACCCTAAGCCCTAAGCACCTTGTAATTCTCCACCCGAGCCTTCCCTTGCGTAAACCCTTGGAGGCTCAGCAACCCCATACGTGGTCCAAGGAGGGTCCTTCCAGGCGAACATGGGGATTTCCTAAATTAGGGGAGCCATTTTGGGGGTCCCCATAATAAGGCTTGTAATATATTGGGGTCTATATTGGGGTCCCTGTATTTTGGGAAACTACCATATACCCTAAAGCCCCCAAAAGGCGTTGCGGCCCAGGCAAAATGATCAAATGCTACAGCAACGAGCTCTGTGATCCAGCAGAAGACGGGGAGCTCGATGCCCAGGGCCATCATCTTTCTTCCGGGGTTTCTAATTTTTGGGGCTTTAGGCTTCAAGGATTGAGGAGTTTGGGGCTTGAGGGTTTTAGGGCTTAGGTGTTTGGGACGAGAGGACGAGGAATTTGGGCTTGGCGTCTTGGGCTACTTTGAGCTCAGATACACGCACCTCCTTCTCGCTGCCGTTCTTGAAATGTGATGTAAGTGGAGTTTTCTTGGACTTCCAGGTGAAAGTTAAGGAAACGGGCTTCAAATTTCTGGCTGTTGCTTACTTCCCGGCAGTTGAATGGGGACGTGCTCTGCCATTCTGAGTGCAGACGGATCCTTACACACAAGCAGGGTATATTTCCTAGTCTGAACATGCTGATTCCTCTTCCTACATTTCGCAGCCTGGCGTTTTTCCCCCACAGTCGCCTCACATACATCCCTCACCTTTTAGCCTTCTGGAACATTTCGCCATCGTTGACGCGCGTTTTGAACACGTTGCGAAGCAGGACATCCTCTGCCCAAACTCTGCCCAAACCTGGGTTCTGAAGCTGAAGCCCTATAGGGTTTAGGGATTAGCGTTTAGCAGCAGGGAATACAAAGCTATCATTGTAGACAATTTGCCAATGAGGTGCCACAAGCTGCCTACCTAAAGCCTGGATCCTTCCCCTCATCCCTTTATACTCATTACATAACCATCAGACAATGTATAACCAAGGCTCTTACACTACAATGTTTGGGGTTCAGTCTGAGAATTCTGAGGTTTTAGGGTTAAGGAGTGTTTAAAGTCTAGGGTTTAGGGTTTCGGGATACTTTGCAAAAAAGAGCCAAGTGTTTTGATGCACAGCCTTGCACGCGAAGGAATCCCAAGCCCTCAGCTTTGAACCCTGAACCCTAAAACCACAAACCCCCTAAAACCATTAACTTCGAAAACACTCAACCCTAAACTCCGTCCATCCTCAACAACCGCAACGCTAGGCACTCATGTCCCCAAGCATCCTTGCGAGGGCCGTGCTTAGCTATAAAAGAAGTTGCTCAAACCAACCCTTATGGTTTCGGGTTTAGGGTTTAGGGTGTTTGGGGTTTGGGGGCCCCATATGAGCCATAGTCTAAATTCCTTGAAAGGGGGTTATATAGCGGATTATCTAAAGGAGTATTATAGGGGTTATTAAGGGGGATGCTAGGAGTTTAGACAATGGCTCATATGGTCTTTTAGAGATCCCCCCATGCATAATCTTACGGTTCAGGGTTTAAGGCTTTAGGGCTAGGTAAGGTCCCTAGAGTGCTTCCATTTTGGAAAGCCTGCATAGTCAGAGGTATGTCTTTGAGCTACGCATTGGCCATAGCTGTAATTCCCCCAAAACAACCAAGTAGACCCCAGGCCCGAAACCCTGAACCCCAAACTTTTGTTCATGCCCAGGAGGCCTTTTGAGACTCTCAGCCCAATGGCATAGGCCCCTTCAACTCCTTGACTTCAAAACCCGAAACCTTAAGACCCTGAACCCTAAATCTTGCCTTCGAAGCTCTGAACCCTCGCCCGTGCAACCCCCTAAACCGCTCCGTTTTTGAGTGTGGTAGTATGCCTAGGGATTGCTGCGCCTCGAAGAAAGGAACCTTCATGTGCTCTAAGCTGCGCGCTTGGCGGGTGGGACGTTAAAAGGTTTAAAGTTAAGGGTTTACAGGTTTTAGGTTAAGGGTTTGGCTTCTAAGCTTGAAGTTTAGGGTGTCGGATTCAGCGTTTAAAGTTAGGCTTGAGGGTCCAGAGGGCTTGCTGTTGAGGAGCCTAGGGTCTAAAGGGGCACCCAAGGAAACGTAAGCAGAAGGGGTCTAGGTTGAGGGTATGAGGCCTTGTGGAAGACAGGGAGATCTTTGTAGGGCTGAGGATTTAGAATTCAGGGAGGCTTCAGGTTGTAGGATCATATAGGCTGTTCTCAAAATCATGGGCTCTTTTTGGTTATAGGTTATACTACAGCACCTAATATTTAGGGGTACCAAAATGGGACCCTACTTTTGGGACTTATCCATATTATGATCTACGCATATGATGCGCTTGCATGGTGAGTTGTTACAATCTTTCTTGGGTATATTACTTAACTGACCATAGAGGGCTGGCCCAGGCCTCCCAGGCAGGGCGAACTATGTTTTTGACAAGTCCTTACGTTCTACGCTGGCCTCCTTCGTTCAAGGACTTTAAGTTTGTGCCCTCAAGGGTTGTACCCTTGGTTTTGGATCCCAAATACCTGTCTTTCATGGGTTACAAAGGACATCTAACCCGACGCCCTAAATCCTAACTCTACATGCTGAGGGACGCGCCCTACATGTGCAAAGCAAAGACGAATGGCAAGAGCCCATCGGACTACTACTGCCACTTGGCAAATTTTCAGGAGGTCTCAAGGCTCTACATTATTGTTCGGGCGGGCTATGCAAGGGTGTATGGGGAAATATAGGGTTTAGGGATCAGGGTTTGGGGTTCAGGGTTTAGGGCCTACACGACGCTGCCCACCATTTTTCCCCTTAATTAGGATTATGCGGGTAACTCAAGCTAAAGGCCAATTAAATGGAAAGCTGGCCATGACAGCTCAACCTCACTCACGCTCTAATTCCCAAGCTGCAGGGTCCTCTGATTTTCGGATATCAGGTTTGGAGCAGAGTAGTGGTGCTTCAACCCCCAAACTTTGCCAAGGTCATAGGGGGACTAGATTCTTGGAAGCCCCATGTCTCTCAACATGGCACCCAAAGCGTTTCAGGTATCTTTGACCTTGCGCATGATCCTCTTTTCTCCTCCCTGCCTATGCTTAGTTCCTACGCCCTGCTTGAGAAACTCTGAAACCAGTTTTTCTGCGAAGTTATGCCTGGTGATTCGGAGAAAGGCTTCGGCTTTAGGCTTCGCGGTTTAGCATTCTTGGCTTTTATTTTACTGTGGCGAAAATCTCACGTTCCAAATCCTCTGGCTTTGTTCTCACATAAGACCTTTGCGTCTTCCGATCATAAACTTTGTCCTCCAATATTCATGGGGTGCAGGATGTAGGGTTAAGGTTTAGGGTGTAGGGCTTAGGCTCCAATCTCTGTAACTAATTTCCCAGAATCTCTCACGAAAATGGGTTTCCGAACACATCCAACGTGTCATAGTCCGGACCCTAAGGACCCTTAGAAAAGGGATCTGTAGTTTGGAGAACACCCACATGTTCAATGGCTATTGATCCTGTTGTGTGGGCATTCTGTAACTTGCCCTAAAGTGCAGATAGCATACTTCAACATCATGTCCTTGCAACCCTAGACCCTAAACCTAAACCAAGTCTCCGTCTTTGAATGATACGCTTAAGGGTATGGGGAGACGGCAATTGTTGGCAAAGCATTCATGCTAGTAGATGCAAGCGTCGAGGAACCCTTAGCAAGTCCCCATGTAGCTTCTTTCGGTGACCTTCAGCCCTGAACCCGAGACCCTAGACCCTAAACCCCCTAAACCCTAAACCCTAAACCCTAAACCCTAGACCCTAAACCCTGCAGCCCCGAACTGCGGGGAAACTTGAGAACCTGAGGCGTGGAACAAAACTCCGACTGTGAAGTCTATGAGGGACGACGCCCCTGCGAGGCATGCCAACCCTTTGGGGGCATAGGGTCAGGATTTAATCCTAAACCCTAAGCCCTTAGGGTAACTATATTGGGGTCATAATAATGGAAAATATAATGGAAACTACTATAGTATATTGGGGTTATAATGGGGTAATATTGGGATAATGGAAAAGAAAATGGAAACTACTAAATATGATATATAATGTTTGGAGTTTAGGGCTCAGGGTTTGGGATGCAGGGTTTGGGTTTCAGGGTTCAGGGTTATTACCCCAACAATGGAGCTTTAAATGGACAAGAACATGGAAGATGACATGAATTTTACTAGGGACCCCTATTACTGGCAACAACCTGTTGGGATTTTGGACTGGGACTTGGGTTGAACGTCGCAAGTTTTACCGTGTGCGAGCATCTAGGGAAGATGAAGCAGATTTGAGGGCACCTCAGCAGTATGCAAGTCACAACGGGTTTAGGGTCTAGGAAAGGGGGTTAAGGCTCAAAGTCTCAGCCAATAGCTGACCGCCCTCGGCAATTGATGACACGTTTTGCACCTCATGAGCGCATGCTGGTGAGAGCACGATCTCGAGCCCCAATTGAGTAGTATTTAATTTGGGGATACTATGGTACGCATTATAGAGTAAGATTATATCCTCCTTTTGGGGTATAGTATTTTATACAAGGAATATCATCTTGCTAGGTTCAACCACCAAAAAAACATTACTCAATTGCGAGAATGCTCCATGCAAGAGCCGCCTGCTAATCCGGTGCAGCCTCGCCAATTCGGTGCCCACCAAATTAGCGAGTTGCGCCAAGTTACCACAATTTATAATGTCCGCGGCAAAACCTGAGCCCTACACCTTTGATGGGCTTTGTACTCCCAGGTTCAATGATTTATCATGGGTTCCCCTACTACTCTAAGCCTTAAACCCCTCCTCTGCTACCTTCTCCAAGATCCCCCTAGGGCTGAAAAAAAAGGTAGCTGGGGCGGTTAGTAGGGGAACCCATGAGTTCCGGGTTCAGTTGGTTTGGTGCTTCGTATCTTCATGGCTGAGGTTGGGGGCGAGGCTGTTCAGTTTCAGGCCCAGGGGCCCCCAAACAGCACAGACCCTTGAAGAAGAACCTCATGGCTCCCCTTTTTGAATCCCATTTGAAATGCTCTTGTTAGGCGGTCTTGCCTGTTGGGGGTCCTGAGGAATCTATTCAGAGTTGGGAGCCTCCTTTTTGAAGGCCTAATTCTCGGAACTCCCTGAGAAGGACTTCCACAGAGTCGTTTGCAGCCTGAACCCTAAGCCCGACCGTGAGGCCGTACTCCTGAACCTTTGTACCCTACCACCCTACCACCTAAACCCCAAACCCTAAACCCTAACCACCCTAACCACCCTTCTGCAGGGCCCGCCGGGCGACGAAGGCGGTGCCGGTGAAGCCGGTGACGCAGGTCCGATTGGTGAGGCCGGAGTGCAGCTTTGGGTTTCGGGTTTTAGGGAGTTAGAGGTTTAGGGTTTAGGGTTTTAGGGGTTGAGGGATTTGAGGGATTTAGGTGTTTATGGTTTTAGGGTTTAGGGTTTGCCGGCATAGGGGTTCAGGCTTCAAGGGTTTTAGGGTTCAGGCTTTTAGGCTTGAGTCCTTCGCATTTACTTGAAACCCCAATAACCTACAGTTTTCTGGGTTCGAGTTATATGGTCAGCCTCCCCCATGATTAGATTGTAAAAGGGATTTATGTACAAGAATTCCAGGGTTCCAACATGTCTATTCAATTCCTACTTGGAGTTTAAAAGGAGTTTATAGTCATGAGGACCTGTACGCCAACCCACCAAAAGGTGGATCATGGGCGGGGGGCGGGGGGTGAGCAGTTATATCTACTAGTTATTGGGGGATCATTGCTAAGCTGTAAGTAATTCGGCTTACAGGTAGGGCTTTGGGTTTAGGGTTTAGGGTTTAGGGATACTACTTTAACGATGAAGAACCAAATGGACAGGAGCGTGCAACATTACATGCAAACTGGGAATTTGGAACCCTAAACCCGTCCATTGGCAGTAGGGCTTCAGGGTTTAGGCTTGCAGGGCTGCAGATTTTAAGCGTTGAGGGGTTTGGCTTTAGGTTGGGGCTTGGTGTTGTCTTGGATTATATTTGAGCTTCATCGGGCTGACATTGGAAATCATGGGTGAAAAGATAGGAGGACCCTAAACCCTAGACCCTCGCAACATGCGTTTAAGGTTTCGGGTTTGGGGCTTGTCCTTGCAGGATGATCCTCGTCAACTCATACGGGTGGCTCCATGATTTGGTTCTTACTCCGACATCCTATGCCTCAAGCCCAAACCCGTTTAGGGTTTAGGGTTTAGGATATAGGGGTTTAGGGTTTAGGGTTCAGGGCTTAGGTCTTAGGGAAAAACCTTAAACCTGATGCCCAAACGCGGGATCAGTCTCAACATCCTAAACTCAGGTCCTAGACGCCCCCTAGATCCCACACCCCGGCAACATCATCCCTAAACTGGCCAGGATGGACGAACTGGTGACCCAGGTATGGCCGAACGCCCAGATCAAGGGGGGTTCTCATAAAATGCAGTTTAGGATTTAGGGTTCACAGCTCAGGGCGGAGATCAACAGGAGGATGAAGATGGAGTGAAAATTTCTAGGAATTCCCGCGTGGGTATGAGACTTGAAGATGGAAATTCCTCAGGCCCCTACATTACCCCGAACGTGCTGGTGCTTAACGCGGAGTCGGGAAGTGACTAGGTACTAGAGCAGGGGTATGTCCGGGGATCATGATATCCCAAAACCTTATTAGGGAGCTGATCTCCAGCTGCCTCTTGTGCACCAGTAAGTAGAAGCATCAGTGCCGCTGGAGTACTGGGAACCTTGCTCCCTAAATCCAGACAGGATCCCCAAATCCATAAACCACTAAACTAGGGAGCCCCTAGATATTTTACTGTAAGCTAGAAACCCTAAACCCCCTTAAGCTCTATCATCCCATGCCACTCGACCCCACAAAGCTGTTTTCAACGTCTAGTAAATAAATATGTATATAAACCGATCAAGGACTACTGGGCCACGATTTGGGGTATTGTCCCAGAAATGAGCCAGACACCTCAACTCCGACTCCTTGGATACTGCCCCCCAATGAGTACAGCCCCCGAGCCTAAATCGCTAAAGCCTAAACCCTCAAACCCCTAAACCCCTAAACCCCTAAACCCCTAAACCCTAAACAACTTCAAATCTTGGAGCCCTATAATCCCTATAATCCCTGTAGTTTCCATTTTCTTTTCCATTATCCCAATATAACCCCAATATAAACCCTATAGTCCCCTATATATCCAAATCCCCCCAAGGCCGTGGAGGCTCCGCCTCCAACGAAGCCAGCCGGGAGAGCGAGATCGTTCCTCGCGCAGGAGGGGCCTTTTGAGGCTTTTATTCTTGTATCAGCCGGTTTCTAGGGGTTAAGGGTTTTAGGATTAAGGGTTTGGGGTTTATAGGGTCTATGGTCTAGAGTCTGGGGAGTTGTGGGGCTACTGTGGGCCCACAGATTAAGGGCGTTCTTAGGGATTATTGGGGCTTGTTAAGGCTTCGTAGGCCGTACTAGTTTGGTGGAGCGCATGCTGGGGTTTGCGCATTGTAGTCCCATGATTCGAGGAGTTGAAACGGTGGGGTCTATGAGTTGAATGTCCGGGGGTTTAGGGCCAAGGGTTGGGGGTTGAGGTTTTTAACCCTAAGCCCTCAACCCTACACACCCCAAACCTTAAACCCTACAACCCTGTACACCCTAAACCCTAAAACCCGACACGGTCGGGGCTGCATGCAGCAGGAGTGGAGTGTAATTCCCTTTAATGGCTAGCTTGTGTGCATAGCTGCCTGGTTGGTTGAGGTAATACGGCTGAGCTTTGAGGACAGCCTGACCTTGCAGTCTTCTGTCTGTCATGCAGGCACCCCAACCCTAAACCCTAAACCCCTAAACCCCTAAACCCTAAACCCCTAAACCCTAACCCTAAACCCCTAAACCCTAACCCTAAACCAAAACCCCTAAACCCTGAACCGTCAAGGGTTTTAGGGGTTGGTTTTTTTTGGGGTGGGTTCCGGAATCGTGGACCTTTCGACCCTCAGCCCTACACTCCTAAGCCTTGGATAAACTGCAAACCTACAACCCCACAACCCTTCATTCTGAGCTCTTAGGCCGTAAAGGTTTAGGGCTTAGGACTTAGGGTTTTTATGGCCTCGGGAACCCTAAGCCGCAAACGCAGAGCTCAACATTCCACAGCTGGATCCTAAACGCCAAACCCTAAACCGACAGCTGTACTACCTCCTGATCGTCAAGCCATAAATGCCCCGAGGGCCTTAACCCCGAACCCTTTACAGTATAGCGCAAGCCGCAAACCCCAAGCTCTGAGACCAAAACCTTAGACCCGCAACCCCAAACTCTAAACCCCAAACCCTAAACCCCAAACCCAACCCTACAACCCAAAACCTGTGAGCTTAAGCCTGTAACCGCAAACCTTCAATGCTGTTGCCAGGGCGCCTCCCCAGCAGAGCTCGTCGGACCGGGCCTTACATTGAGCTTTGGAGCGCTGGGGTTGATCCAAAGTTCTACCTGAGCCCCTGAAGTACTCAGGGTTTAGTGTTTTAGGGTCTAGGGTTTAGGGTTCAGGCTTTAGGCTTTAGGCTTTAGGGTTTGGGGTTCAGGGTTTAGGGTTTGACTTTCGGCAAAGTATGTGAACTAAATTAGCGGTTTTTAAGTCAGTACTTGCTGGCTAGGTGTAGATAGCATTTCTCAGAGACATTAGTGATAGTGTAAGTGTTTGGTATCCAATTTTGGGGACCATAACTCATGACCATGTCCACAGCGCGTCTGATCTTCAAGTGCGCACACCTGCAGATGGAGCTGGAGGGGGAGTTCACAAACTTCCAGTACAGGTTAGACACCTGAACGGTCATATCCGTGGCTTCGGCGTTTCCAAGGAGCTCAGGAGTCTGAGTGAGTGCTTGAATCGATGATGAGCTTCAGCTGGTTCCTCGCTGCACGGGCTGCTGCGCAGCATTCCCTGTAGGGACCCAAACATCCCCAAGTAAGTATTATTTGACAAGGTTCCACAGTCCAAAGTAATTGAGGCCCTTCTCGCACCAGGATTCAGTAGGGGACCGGTCGTCACATGCATGGTCTCATGGGCTTTAGCATATTCTTCAGTATGTCTCCCTAAAGGGAGCTGTCAGCAAAACAGCCTTTCGCTCAGCAGTTGGTATTCCCCAAGGGAAATCCCATGAGTATGATTGCGGTTAGAATTAGAAGTGTTAAGGTTTAGGGTTTGGGCTTAGGGTTGAACCTGGGAAGTGAGTATATTAGATGAATCCCCAAAAGCCCATTTCCTACGTTTGAGGTCCAAGTATGATTAACAGGGTTAAGGTTCAAGGTTTTAACTTGAGTCTCTGGATAGTTGTTCAGGACTTTACATGGGAAGGCTCCTTGTGTCCTTGTGCAAAAGTTTGTTTTTCTATTTCAGCCTCTGCCTCTGCCAGGGATGTCTTACCATGTTTTTTTAATGACACGCCACCACCCCTCCCCCCCTCAAAAAAACAAGCAAACCCTAAACTTCAAACCTTAAACCCAAAACCCCAGACCCTGAACCCGAAACCCAAAGCCCGAAACCATAAACCCTAAACCCTAAATCCTAGACCCCAAACCCAAGTCCGAAACCATACACCCTAAACCCTAAATCCTAGACCCCAAACCCTAAACCCTAAACCCTAAACCCTAACCCCAAACCCCAAACCCTAAACCCAAAACCGTAAACTGACCCTAAAACCTAAAACCTAAAGCCAGGGTTTTGGGGCAGATGGAATCCTAGGAACAATGTTCTAGCTGGGCCATGTCTTGCGAAGGGTGAGGTGGCCTCTTCAATTTAACCCGTTAGTTCTAGCCCTATAAGGCAGTTTAAGGGATTTGGGGTTTAGGGTTAGAATCTTGAGGTAGTTTAGGGTTTTCAGAATCATGGGGTTTAAGGGTTCAGAAATGGGGGATTTGGGTTCAGAATTTGGGGTTCAGGGTTTAGGGTAAAGCCGAAAACCCCAAGCTAACACCTCTGGACCCATAACCCCAAGCCCCAAACCCTAAACCTCAAATCCCAAACCGAACGTCGTAAACTTCTACCAATCTAGAGCTGCTTAGGTGCTGTAGCTGTGAACTGCATGTTGGCGCTGCTTGTCTTCGCAAACCTCAGGGTGCGACGGGGTAAAGCATCGGGAGGTTTTGGGTTTGGGGTTTACAACCCTAAGCCCTAAACCCTAAACCCTGTATATTTAAAAGCTCTGGGATGACGGGTATAGGTTGGGTACTCACCCAATAACAGTCTGTATCAGGGGTCCTATTAAGGGCTATATATATCCATATGAGCTAAAGTCTAAACTCCTTAAAGGGGGTGAAAAAAGGGGTTTATATAGGGGACTACCATAGGGGTGATTAAGGGGGATGCTAGGAGTTTAGACAGTAGCTCATATTATGATTATTATCCAACTGTTACTGAGGGTGGGGCAGTGCCCATGGTATAGGTTCAGGGTTTAGGGGCTTAGAGTTAGGGCTTAGGATTTTGGGAAGATTGGGGTTTGGCAATAAACGAGGTTCCGGTTATTCCAAATACCGACCCGAGTCCTACAGGGCAGCTATTACATGGGAGTGGGTTACACAAATCCTCTGTTGGAAGTGCGCGAAAATTGGGTTCCAGCATTTCTTTGTTTGTGTGGTTTTGGGTTTAGAGTGGGAGGGAAGTTTACAGTTTTGGGCTTAAGGTTTTTGATTTTGAGTTTGAGCTTTGGGGTTTAGGTAGTAGAATTCTGCCTTAGGGGGTTTTTGGTGCGGGGTTGTGGGTTTGGGGGCTTGGACTTTTTTTCTGGCAGGGCTGATTCAGGCGCCTTCCACCGCAACAGAGAACCTTTTTGCATGTGCTCAAACCTCAAGCCCCAAATTCACCAGATCTTCAAAGGGTGCCAGGTTCGAAGGGAGTGGACACCCAATTGGTAATCCCCGGCAGTCCCTTATCCTTCCTAGCCTGCCCTAGGCTCCCTAAGGTTTCCTTGCGCCCACCTCTCTTTCAAGGACCTGACAATGCAACCTACACTACACCCTAAATCGTGTTTTTTTTTTGGGGGGGGTATCCCTTGGCTTGGTTCAACCCGAAACAGCAACAACAAGGACTTTCTTCACACAGTGCGCCCTAGCCCAGCTCCGAACGGAGAGGGTGCACTAGTCTTTTATGGTGCCTAAAGGGGCCGTATGTTGGGCTTCTGAGGTGGGTGTCTAAGTCTTCAAAGGGAGTGTGCTGCTTGGACTCCTATAATTACCCCGTGCTAAACCCGAAGCCCTGAACCATAAATTAGAAATCCAGCCCACGAACACCTCGCTCCAAAGAAAGAGGTTGGACTACCAATCCTTAAGCCAGAGCCCCAACCCTGAACCCTAAATCCCTAAAGCCTAACCCTAGACCCTCAACCCTTAACCTTACAACCTCACCCCTTAACCCTACTCCCGCCGCGTCTAGCAGACCCTAAACTTCCCTAAGCCTTAAACCCCTGAACCCTAAACCCCTTATGCCCCTAAGTGGCCTAAGTCCCTAAGCCCCTAAGTCCCCAAACCCCTTACCCCCTTAAGCCACTAAACCCCTCAACCCTGAACCCAACCTGTACCAGGGCAAGATCAAGGACCGCATGGATGGAAAGGCCGGCTCTGCCATGTCCTTGGGTTTAGTGTTTAGGGTTTAGGGTTTCGGGTTTAGGGAGGGTTCATGATTCATCCGATTACATTTACGCCGTACGGGTCCAGGGTTCAAGGTTCAGGGTTCGGGCTTAGGGGTTTGGGGTTTAAGGGTTTTGGGTTTAATGTTTTGGGTTTAAGGGTTTGAGAGTCTAGGGTTTCAGGGTTTGGGGATCGGGGTTTAGGATTTGGGTTGAACGGTTGGGGGTTTAGGGTTTGGGGTTCAGGTTTTCGAGTTTAGGGTACAACGCAAGCCCCCTAGTTCTGAACTGAGTTACATGTTTGATAGCGAAGCGCCTCATGACTCTACCTGCCGCGGCCTGAGGAATTGTGGAGGTACACCATGCGCAGGGTCCTGCATGATTTTATTTACCAGCTGTCCAACTGTAGTACATTTTTTAAGGCCCTTAAACCCTAAACCTACGGTATTGCCCCCAGAAGGGGCAGCTTCGATGATTTTTCGGTCGCAGTCCTTCATGAGGAGAATGTCTTCTAGCTTGGCTCAACCACAAAAAGCACTCCTCAAGTGGGGGATGTGTCCAATCTTTCGGATTAGGGCTTAGATTTTCTGCCCTAAGCCCTCAAGTCGACACAACATTCACATGTTCTTGTGAAATAAAAGTGTGTGGGCTTTGCTACCCTTGACTCTACACCCCAAAGCTGGACCCATCTTTCTTTAGCAGCACGAAGACGTAAACCCAACGTTGAGGGTCAGGGAGACTTAGTAAGTATACAAATGACCCCTATAAGCCACTTGGTAACCCACTTGCTGAGTCTCCTGACCCTCCAAGTAAAACCCGAAGCGCTAAATCTCGTGTGCTCAGGTCGCGCCACGCTGAGGCTGCTGCACTCCTGTCAAACGAGCAGTGAAATTGTGTTCGCCGTCCTTCCCCTAAACTAGCATTGAAGATCATTGAAGGTTTTAGATTTTGAGGATTCAGGGTTTGCGGTTCAGGATTAATTCAGGTTCCGGGTTTAAGGTTCAGGTTCTCTTTTTGTGGTTCCCTAAGTATTGGGGGCCGTATTATACAGGGACCCCCAAGACGGCCATCATTTTCACAACCTTCCACATGGAGCCCCCAAAAATGGCTGATAGGCTGCGAGTGTAGGTATTAGGTAGAAAGGATGTTGTCCTTGTATGACAAGCGTCTTCCAGGGGTTCCACGTTGGTTTGGGTGGGTAATGTTGATTCGTAGGCAGACGGAACAAAACATCGCAGCTCAAACTGAGCCCTAAATCAGGCAGAATGGGGCCTCCACAATGTCCTCACAATTGCCATTGGTCTCTTAAGCCTCTGGGGTTTCCTTATCTGAAGGGGCAACGCAAGCATCACATGTGTATGTAATAGGGGCCATGTGGAGTCTCGATCGTGTTTCTGCCGGCCACTGTCAGCATTATGGATGCCAATGGAGTTCTAAGCAATGGCATATTGTTGATGGAGGACCCCTTTGCACAAGCTTAAGTTCGGTAAGTTATTCAGGAGGAAGTGCATCCCTAACCCCTAAACCCTAAGCCCTGTTCCTTTTGTGGGTTTTCGGTGGCGCAACCTTTCCTCCATCAACAGTAGGGTTCTGGAGGTTTCTTACGGTAGCTGTCCCTCATGTTTGCCTGGCAGAACGTCGGTTTAGGGTTAAGGGTTTGGGGTTTAGGCCTTAGGGTGTGGGGTTAAAGGTTTAGGGTTTTGGGGTTTAGTGTTCAAGGTTATCAATTTTCTGATAGACGGACGTTTATCCAATTGGGGAGTCCCTACTTACCCCCCCAATAATATGACGGTTCTTGTCATAGCCTTTTCTAGCAGAGGACCCGCAGCTTCGAGAAAGCTATACACAAGCGTTCGTGTAGCGCATGTGGTAGCTGTTCAAAACACCTGTCCCAAAAGACCATAAGGCAGTTACCTTTTTGGGTTAGGATCTCCCTTTTGAGGCAGCGAGTGGTCCTTTGTCACCGGGGCCTGTAGGACAACTAGCCCTGAATCCTAAGCCCTAGACTGCACTAAATCCCGCACCTAAACCCTAAACTGCCCTAAACCCTAACCCCCAAGCAGCTAATCCCTTCTTTCAGAGCTCGGACCTTCAGAAGAACCCCATCCGGATCAGGGTCTTTTAATGCCACGAACGGACATCCTGCAGCTGTGATGGTTAAGGCGTGGAGGGCTCAACGGGTTGGCGGTGCAGGTTTAGAGTTTGGGATTTAGGGTTAGGGTTTGAGGTCAACAGCGACACACCTATAAAAGGAAAAGAACACTGGCTAAAATATGCAAGACCGATGTGAATCTATGTTCTAAACCCTAAACAGCCCCAAACTATCTAACAGACAGGTGTCCACAGCGGCCCTGCGGGGTCTAGGGTTTGGGGGTTTGGGTTCAGCTTCAACACTTCTGGACGAATCCTTATCCTGCTGGTGTTTGAGGGAAGGGGAGGAGCAAACCTAGATTGTTCTTACCAAAAATGCTTATATGAGGACTCTGAGGATTGTTGCATGTACCAGTTGGGCACGATCATCATTGTGCTATGTCTAGTACTTGGCGTTGCATTTACATAAACTATCATGGAACCCACATGTAAAGGGTACGAGTGACAACCATCCTTTAAATCGGACATGTTTGGGAGCCTCTCCAAAAGTCACTATAGGATTCCTAGCAGGGAACTCGAGAATCCCGTCAAAATTTTCGGTGCACCCTACATTGAGACATGTCCCTATAATGTGGGGATTGGGGTTTAGGGTTTTGGCTTTTGAGAAACCTTCTCTTTTGTTCGCAGGCACTGAAACCTAAACCCGAAACCCTACACCCTGATCTTCGTAGCAGGCATGACAAGAATGTGCAGCCTCAGCGCTCTGATTGGGAGTACATTCATACTTGCTGCTGCCCTACAAACAAACATGGAACCCTAAACCCTCTGATGGGTCCCTTTCAGGATTGCATGGGGGGTATTTAGAGAAGCTCTCTCAAGTGAAGCTGTCTGCACACGCCCGGCCGAATCCTTCCTCTTAAATCCGTTGGATATAGGGTTGAGAGTTTAGGGGGGCTTGATATTCTGCGAGCAAGGTCATTCCCTAGTAGGCCTCTGGTTTCACGATGCATGGTCCTGGAGGCTGCTCACTCGTGAACGACTAGCATAGTTTCTGCAGGTTCCTGTAGTGCTGAGCCAAGTCGTCCTTAGGATCAGTCTAACTAAACGCTACTGGGTCGGCCTTTGGGTTCCTTAAATATTTTCCCTTATTGGTTTTATAGGGACCCATCTATACTAATACTTTTCAAAGGTCTCTAAAGGCCAACCAACGCTAAATCCGAACTTCAAATACCTCCGACAGCCTAAACGAATTCATTCCATCATTCCACGCTGCATGGGGGGCAGGTCAGCAAAGCCGCTGATAAGGGAAAAGACCAAGTTGCTGATAATATCCTATGGTAGCCAGTATGATTCTTACAGATAACGGTAGTGTTTCGTGATATACTTGCATTGTACAAACGCTAGGTCCCTATATCATTTCAGTTTCTGTGTTATTTTCCATCTCTGTTCCATCCAATTCTGAATCATGGGGGCAATGAACCGTAAATCCTAAACCTTATCTGGTCTTGAGCATTGAGCAGGGGGTCTTTGAAGGCATTTTCTGTTCTTTTCACACCAGTAGAGAAGGGCTTCACACAAATGAGCGTTAGTCGTAATCCCCTCCCCTAAGAATCAACACCCCCATGCTCGAATAACACAAGGCGCCCAATATAATGCAATTGCATAGCGTGGGCGACTCGTTGTTTGGGTAGGTCTGTTTTTAGGCGGAAGGATTTGCATTTGTAGTGTGTATAGGGTGTTGTTTCAACAATACATGTCCCCTACTATACTGCCCCAAGACCTCAGGAAAGGACCCCCTGATCTCACTGATCTCTGGAGTATGGAACGAAAAAACCCTAAGCCCTAAACCCTCTTCCATAAGCTATCATGCTGCCAGCCAGGACCCCAGAAACTCGACGTAGTCGCCGTGGTGAGGGCTTCCCGAGCTCGCGCAGAACCTGCCGGTGAGCTTACACCCTAATCCCCGTAAGCGTGCAATCCTGAAACCCTAAACCCTCAACCCCAAGCAAAAAAACACTGAACTCCGAAGACTAGACTTCAGCTGCTAAACCCAAGCCTCCATAGACCTTCATCCCTGAACCCTACTAGCCCCTAAACCGTGGGCTTAAAAACTGGATTGCTGTTAAGGAAGTTGAATGCAGATACCATAGCCTGCAGATTTGACACATAAAAGGGTGTCCTTGCCTCTGTGACTTAATTTCTGTTCCCGTTCAGCACGCCAGAAAATACTCCACCGCAAGAGATACCCCAGCCTTTGCAAACACTTCCAGCAGCCCTCAGTCTGTGCTGGGTTGTGTAAACAATGGTGTACGGATGGTTTTAGGTAGATAAAAGAAAGGATTTCGGGTGGGGCTCCTGTGGACTAAAAGCCTTTGAGCAAATGATTTTGGGCATCATTTTACGTATTTTCGACGTCCAAGGAGAAGTTTTGGAAGAGGGCTCCGACCTAAACCCTAAACCCTAAACCCCAAATGAAGTGCACATCAACATGGGTAGCCTTGGATAGCAAAACCGAATCCTGCTCCTAAACCCAAAGCCCTTACCAGGGCTAGTTCTGCACATGTCTTGTAATTCTCATTAATCAGGGTTTAGGGTTTAGGGTTTAAGGGTTTAGGGTTTAGGGGTTTGGGGTTTAGGGTTTAATTACCCTTAATCCCGGTATAATCCGTAGAAAGCCATAAGAGTTAGAATGGTCTAGGGCAAACCCTCCTTAACCCCGTAGGCCTTAAACCATGAATCCTAAGCTCTCAAACCCCGAGGCGCCTTGGCCCGGAGCCGTTTGAGATCCTAAAGCCTACTGAAGACCCTGGATTCTGTGTGTTTGTGAGGGCTCTTTGGAGTATGGTTTAGCAGGTTAGGGTGTAGGGTTTAGGGACAGTGTGAGCTGCCCGTCC